ATGAAGGTACAAGTGTGTGTGTGTGTGTGTGTGTGTGTGTGTGTGTGGTTTAGGTCAGATCCATAGTTAGGTGTATATGTGTGCATGAGGGGATATTTTTTTTTTAAATTTTATATGTGAGCATTACATCTTTGGGTATGTAAGTGCACTCATGTTGTAAAATGCTTACAGAGGCCAGAAGAGGAAGTTGGATCCTGTGGAACTGGAGTTATAAATGATTGTTAGCTGCCATGTGGTGTGGGGATTCAAATCCAGGTCTTCTGCAAGAGCAACCTGTGCTTTTAACCGCTGAGCCATCTCTCCAGTCCACCATCTTATTTTTTGAGATATAATCTCTCATTGAACCTGGAGTGCACTGATTTAAATAAGCTGGCTCATGAGCTACAGGCAGTTCCTTTTCTCTACCTCCCTAGCTCTGGGATTACTGGCACATGCTGCCATGCTCAATTTTTATTTGGGTGTTAGGGATCTGGGTGCAATTCATCATGCTTGTGAGGCAAGTGTTTTACTGACTGAGCCATCTCCCTAGCCCCTGTTGGTGTTTCTAGAATAAGCAAAAGAATGGATCAAAATGGAGAGACTGGGTATTTTATCTGCCTGTGTTTCACATGTTACCTTAGAAGTAAGATACTTTGTTCTTTGTTTAGGGGAATTTTTTTTTGCTTTCTGGCCATTAGGAAGAGCATGGACTCTATAGTTAGATTGCCACAGATATAATCTTGGCCCTAGAATTTCAATTCTATTGGCTTGAATAAGTCACATAGCTCCTTATAGATCAGTTATACTTATTTATTAATTTTGCATGTGTATGTGTGTATGTGGTATGTATATGCGTGCATGCATGTTTGCATGAGTGTGGCTGCATGGGTGTATGTGGATGCACATGAATGTGGAGGCCCAAGATTGGCATCAGGTGTCTCCCTTGATTGCTCTCTGTCTTACATGTTGAGGCAGGGTCTCTTGCTGAACCTGGAGCTCACAGTTTTGGCTACTTTGGCCAGTCAGCTTATTCTCAGGATCACCTATCTCCACCTCCTGTACACTGGGTAACAGGAGGACTATCACACTCACCCAGGTTTTAAGTGGGTTCTGGGGACCCAGACTCTGGTCCTCATGCTTGCAAAGTAAGCGGTTTATCTGTGGAGCCAGCTCCCCAGTTGCCTTAATTTTAAAGTAGTGTTCCTAACACATTTGCAAAGACTAAGTGAAACCTAACGGTATAGCATATGCAATCAGTGTCTAGTATAATGCTTGGCCAGAGCCAAGACTCAAGAAACCCAATTCTTCCTTGCTTATTTTTAGAAGCCAATATGTTGCAGATGTGGCACTCCTTATATTAGATGGCATGTGCAAAGCTTGGTTGTGGTATCAACTAACCCTAAGATATCAGTGACCAAAGATAAGAAAAGCTTTTATTTTGCTCCTAAAAAGCTATATGCTGGTTAGCTGTCCTCCAGTGAGTGTCCTGGGGATTTGGACTCCTTTTCTTGATTGCTATCATCTTCAGCCTCAGTGTTGAAGGCCTTTGTAGCATAGGAGGTGAGAAACATTGTGTTTCAAAGATTCTTATGAACTAGTGTGGCAATTGGTGACTGTGACTCTGGTGTAGGTTCTCAGGATTTGGCACCTGGTCTTCCCCAGATGCAAGGTAGTCTGGAAACACAGTGATCTGTGTACATAAGAGGAAGGAATGACAACGTAGATCATGGCCACACTTCCCCTCTCCCACTTTCATCCCTAGTCTGGAGGGACCCTGGCTTAGTACTTGAGCCTGCTCTTCTGAGGAGCCCTGGAGGGAATCCCAGCAGGTCAGGGTCTTTTGTCAGTGGCACCCACCTGATCCTTTGTCTTCTGCATGCTGGGCTCCAGTGAGGCAGTGGTGATGTAGGGAAAGGAGGTTGGCCCTTTTCAGATCGACAGTGACCTCAAATGCTCTTGCTTTGTTTTGTTTAAATGGAGCATGTGTTCTCATGTCTGGGTCATTCATTCTGATTACAGAAGATTTCTTTTTTTGTCTTTTTGAGACAGGGTCTCCTTGTAGTTTCAGCTGACCTGAACTTACTATGTAGACTACCAGGCTGGCCTTGAACTCACAATGATCCGCCTGCCTCTGCCTCCCAAGTGCTGGGATTAAAGGCGTGCACTACCCGGCTCTGATTATAGAAGATTTTATAGACATGATTTGGAGAAGATCCTTTGGGATTTGTCATATAGGCATGTAGGGAAGGAAGAAAAAGCTTTTTAGGTTGAGAGAGCAGGCTTGGAAGAGCAGGTTGACTAACGTCATCTCACTGTTACAGAAGCAGGGCTCAGTCTGTCAGGCATCCATTAACATTTACTCATTCATTCATTCATTCATTCATCCCTCACTTTTCCCTCCCAACCTCATGTGCTCTTTTCTAAAACCCACTGAATTCACTTAATGCTGTCTGTATATGCATGGGTATGGGAATGTACTGGAGGATTGGTAAGGAACCTCTCAGAGGCTGTATGCCTGAAGAAAACTGACTCTTTCTCCCTCAGCAGCCACCAATAGCTCCTCAGGATGGGACTTCATGAGCCCCTCCCCTACCCATTCTAGGATTTTGGCTTGTTTGATCTTGTATACATCTTGTGCATACAGTCATAGCCTCTGTGAGTTCATGTGTGCAACAGCCCTGTCACGTATGGCAAATACTGTTTCACTGGCTCTTAAAATCTTTTTCGTGATGGTCCCTGAGCCTTGGTGGGAGGAGGTGTGATGCAGATAGTACATTTAGAGCTGAATACTGCATAGTCTCTTATGTCTGCACAACATCCAGTTGTGGGTCTGTATTAATCACCATCTACTGCACAAAGACGTTTCTCTGATGAGGGTTGAGAATGAGCATTCTATGACAATAAGAACTTAGAGGGTAGTTTATTATTATGGCCATTTAGGAGACTAATAGTACTAGGTTCTCCCCCAGGGCCTAGGGCCTAGCCAGCCATGCATTTTTGCCACAAATAATGGAACCAGGTATGAGTTTCATCTTGTGGAGCTGGCCTTAAAGTCAATCAGAAAGTGGTTGATTACTCCTGTAACACCGATGCCACTATTGCACAACTGTGCATATTTTGCCCGGTCAGTTGTTATTGTAGCTCACAGGGTTCACTGCTGTGTAAGACTGTTGATGACTTTTCTCCCTTGGTGTAATGCATAGAAAATTCTAGTACTGTAAAAGCTAGCTAGTTGAGATAAAGCTTCCAGATCAGTATCAGCGTGATTTTTCTGTGGCCTATGACTTAGATATGTGGTGTCTTCACCAATAGGGTTTTACCCATCAAGTTGTGGAGGGTAATCAAGAGCAATGGCAATAGCCAGTAATTTTTGGTGGTGGTCTATGGAACCCCACTGACCAACAACTGGAAAAGAGGTAACTCATTCCTGACACTGGGCTTTTTACTTGATAGTTTATGGTTTGTTCTCTAGGGTAACTGCATTTAAACTTCCTGTAAACTTTGTAAGTATTTATTTAGTTTTAAATAAATGATATAAAATAGTAGGTTTGATTATGGCCCTTTCCTACACACGTTGTTTCTTGCTGGTCCTCTCGTCCTCCTTTCGTCTGACTCTCCTTTCTCCCCTTTTGGTCTCCGCCATCCTCCTCATAGCCCCTCTTTGGTTTTCATGTCACATGTATTCTCTTTTTCTCCTTTTGGCTTTCCTAGCCACTTCTGTGTGTGCCATGGCAGAAGGGATGAGCATGCTCCCTAGGGCCTCTTTTTTCAGCACATTAACCCCATACAGAAGAGCTGAACCCTCATAACCTAATCATCTTCCTATGTCCCTCTTAATACCACTTCATTGAGGATTAGGTTCCAACATGTGAGCTTGAAGGGGACATGGACATGCAGTCTACAGTAGATGTGGCTGTTCTTATAATGGGGACTGCATGGGTGCTTAAAAGAGGGTAGAGAGCTGTGATGAGATACTTGAGCACTCAAGGGACAAGACATACAAGGAAGAGATGGGCTAGGATGTCAGTCAGGTGCAGAGCACCACCAAAGAGGCTGCTGTAGGACGCAGTCCCACAGGTGCTAGCTCCTTTTATGTATCAGGCAGGACTCCCTTTGGAATACCCTTCTTTCTCCTCTGTACCTGGGAAGATCCATCCCCGCTTTGGAGAACTGTTAGTCATCTCCTTTTTCCTCTCTTTCAGAACATAGCAGGCTTCTGTTTCTCTGACATCTCCTAGCTGGAGCTGCCATTTTGACCCTATATCTCTTTCAGTGTCATCTCGAGGGAACTTACAGCCCAAGTATATACTCTGCTTATCCTTGTTAAATCAAATAGACACAACCTATTGTCAAGTGATGAATGGCTTGAACTTTAAGGCGGAGTCTAGAAACACAGCCATGCTGACTTTCCTATCTTCCGAGAGTGTGGTTGTCCAATTTATCATCAGTGTTTCTTCCAAGTCTCTGAATCATGAATTTTCGGTTTGCTTTTACAGAGAAGGCTGTGTTTACTTTTCATAGTGATTCCACTTAATGACTCTTCTGGAAAGTGGATATTCCCTACACATTACAGGTGGGAAAACAGACTTCCAGGGATGAAGCATGTGGCCAGAGCTCACACAGCTTTGCAGAACTGAGACGTGGATGCAGGTCCGCTGGACTTTGAAGCTAGTTCTGTTTCTGTTTTGTCCCAGCATCCCTGCCTGTTGCAGGAAGCAATTATAGAGGCATGCCCTAGCATTCATTTTTCCTACTTAGAATGAGACGTTGCTGTTTACTTTCTCAGGAAGGAAGATTGAAATCAATGTAACTAGCCTTATTAACTTCCTTAAATAAGGGGGCTTGTGGATGCCAGAGCCTTTCCTGAGAAACCAAAGCAAATATAAAAATCCAATTTGCCTATTTTTTTCAAGTCTTCTCCAGAGTTTAAAATTCAAAAGCTGTAAATGAAAAGGGGTGGGACAGGGGTGACAAACCAAGCTTCACACGCAGGAATGTACTTACTTGTCTTTTGTCTACAGGTGGCTGTTCCTTTGATGAGCACTACAGCAATTGTGGATATAGCGTGGCTCTTGGGACCAATGGGTTCACCTGGGAGCAGATTAACACATGGGAGAAGCCGATGCTGGACCCAGCTGTGCCCACAGGTATGTGACCCACCATGTCTGGGCTGAGATGGAGATGGCTGGATGTTGCAATGACTTTTGGGGGAGGGTCTTCTTATGAACTGTCTGAGAGAGCAATAGGCAACTCTGTAAGGATTGAGTTGCCCATCTTTAGAATTGTTAAGACAAGACTAAGTGAATTCCATAGAATGGCATGGGAGTCACAGGTTATTAGGATCCACAGACCTTTAGAAATCCTTTTCACTCTCAGATTTTAAGCTTTATTTCTATATAGGATATCACTGAGTTTTGCTTAGGAGTCTGACGGTAGTAAAATTTCAGAAGGATTTGAGGTCACCCTATCCTGTAGGCCACATAAACACAGGTTGTATGCATACATCGGGGGATTTCCATTATCAGATTGTTAATAGTATGGTAAGTGTCCTGACATCCTGATTACCAAGTTTATTTAACCCCAAGGTTCAGGGATTGAATCAGAAGAGGGGGCAGAAAGATTGTAAAAGAGGCTGTGGGAGGAGGGAGGACATTCTCTGTGGAGCTTCCCTGACCAAGGGCAGCCTGTAGCACGCACTGTCTTGGTTTTCCAGCTAAGACTCCCTTTGTTCTTCTTAGCCATCTCTCTGGTCCTATATACTGGAGATCATCAAACGTACCCTGTGGACTCCTTGTGGATGGCCTCACCATCTCCATTGCTTTAGAAACTATCTGAACACTGTTAACTCCAGCATCTGTGACTTCCAGTGCCCCCTTGGCCTATTCTGGGGAAGGAGTTTTCTGGATATCAGGCTGAGAAGATGGTCAGAAGCGTCCAGTGGGGAAGTGTCCTCACTGACTTGGAGCTTTGCTCCAAAGGAGGCGGCCCCTGGTGGATGTCTATGGTCCTAGTAAGGCCATGCAGTGTATCTATTTCTCCTGAGAGGAGATAATCTGAGGCAGCTTGTTATGCTAATCATACTGAGTCACTACACTGGACATTTCAGATCAGGTAGGATCTTACTTTGCCTGAACAAAGGCATCAACTGCCACATATTGCACTTATTAAGGCAGCATGGGAAAATCTCTCTACCTGTTGCTTCATTGTCATTTTTAATAGTTCTGACTTTATTCCCATAGTGTCCTCATCATTTATCCCTTTGGGAACCCATTAACCCAAAACACCTGTGCTTTAAGCATTTCATGAACTCTGTTCTGTTGGCCATCTTTGAGATTGTCCAGATCTGGATCTTATAGTGTGTGTGTGTGTGTGTGTGTGTGTGTGTGTATGCATGCATGCCTGTGTGTATACATGCTTATATGGATGGACATGTGCCCCTGTGTGTATGCATCTGTGTATGAATGTGTGTATAGATGTATATATGCATATGCATGCACTCGTGGGCATACTTATATGTAGGAATATGTGTGCATCCATGTGTATCTGCATGTTTGTGTTATGGATGTGTATCTATCCACATGTGTATGTGTGTACATACATGCTCTTTCTGCTCATCGTTAGCCCACCCAAAGTCCTATAGTATCTGTTGGCTCTCTACATCTAACATCGCCAAAATTGAGCTTATGTTTTGTTTTGTTTTGATTTTGAGACAAGGTCTCACTGTGTAATCCAGCCTGGCCTTGAACTCAAGATCTTCCTGACTTTTCCTCCAAAGTACTTGGGATTACAGGCACACTCGGCTAAAATTGAGCAAATGACTCACCTGTTCCCCTTTCTCTGTCTACCTACCCTCTAGAATGATTCAGAAGTCAACTGGCCACACTTCTCCTTTCCTACATACCAGTTTTTCCTGCTGCTTCCCTTCCTGACTGGGTCTTAGGTTTACCCAGTTTGTCTGCTTAGACCCTCACTGCCTGGTGCACACCACCTTTGCTTCTCTCCTGGGTACCTGTGGTACTTTCTTACTGGTTTCTTGAGACATCTTTTGAATTTAATCCACACAGAATCCAGAGAGTCAACTAGAATATAGGCATGCCCATTTCTCTCTTGCCCTCCCCTCGTCCCTCCCTATCTTTTGCTTTGAAGCCCCTGAGATCGACCATTACTCCGAGGAGACCAAGAGCCCTGCTGTTCCCCCAAGGCCCTGACAGCTGACCTAGCTCAGCTTCCACCCTCTCCTGGCTGCACATCCCCTAGGCTTGCTTCCCACCGGTTCCTACCAATTGCCAGAAAATTCTGACTGCCCTATGCCAAGAACTCATATACTATGTTCCTCTCTGTGGAACCCTTCCCTCCACTCTGCCATTCAGCCTGGGACAACTCTTTGTAAAGATCCCCCCCCCGACATGCGGCACATTCCGTCCCCAACATGTCTTGACTGGTGTCACTTTTCCCCAGATTAGAAGTTCCACATATCTAGGGATCACAGTAGTTTCATTTGCAGCTTCATCCTTAGTGCCTGATGGGATGCAGTATGCCACACAGAGCATCTATAGTATGTCGTGTTCGATCGATGCATAGATGGGTCCCTTTAACCAACTGGTTCTTAGTGATGGATGAATGACACATTATTAAAGACCTTTGAACCTTCTGATGACGTATTTTAATCCTTTTCCGATACTCTTCCCATTTTACAGATGAGAAAACTAAGATTCAATGAATCTGAGGAAGATTTCCATTTCCCTCCTCCCACATACCACTTCCTCTCCCAAAGACATGATGCTTGCTTATAATCTTAATTTTCTCAGTCCTTCATTATGGCAGAGTGTCATTCCATAAATATTGGATCGTGCTAATACAGTCTTCTGAGATTTTCTAAATAGAGGCATTTGATAACAATCGCTGAAATGAGTCTGTCAGGAGGTGCCTGTGAATCTCACAGCTCTGCATGCTGCTTAGGCAGAGAAGCATGAAAACAAACTTGGATTAGGTGAAACTGTTTGTTCTTCTCTTGGGCAGTGACTGAAATCTTACTCTCTTTGTGTAGATCCAGTAAATTCCTTCTTTTCTGAAATCTAGCTTGAATCTATTTATTCAGATGGCTCATCACCTGTTATCGACCCCCAGATCCCTTCTGTGTGACAAACTTGTATTTGGTCTCAGTCAGTCAGATCATGCCATTCTGGTACTTAATGTCTTTAGTGGCTTGGTGCCTAGGAAAATTGTTTGTACTGCAAGGCCTGTCAGGTCCTGTGCAATCTGTCTTCTGTGTCTCTTCCTTTTCTTTTTAAAATTTAATGTCTATGAGTATATTTTGCTTGAATATATGTAGGTACACCATGTGCATGCAGTTCCCATGGAGACCAGAAGAGAACGTCAGATCCTGAAACTGGAGTTACAGATGGTGATTAGCTGTCATGTGAGTGCTGGGAACCAAACTGAGGTCCTCTCGAAGAGTAGCCAGTGCTCTTAACTGCAGTGCCATCTCTCCAGCCCTGATCTGTCTTTTTCAAACTGCTTTTCTTTTCTCTTAAAGTGCTTCCCACACCTTCCTCTGACACTCATATTGTAACAGTGCTCTCTGGGTCTGCCTGCTCTGGGTGTGGCTCAAGCTCCATGACACCCAATGTTACTTCGCAAAGGGGAACCTCCTAGCTCGTGATCAGGCACGGGGCAGACAGACCAGAGAAACCTCTTAATTCCCAGGATGCACTGTTACCTAGAAAGCTGGCATCTCCTGTAGCTTAGCTCCCAGAATCCAATGCTGCCCACCTCTGTCATAGTTCCTTATCCCTCTGCATGGAGAAGCCCTCAGGCTAGCATCCAGGCTTGAGACCTGGTTTCCCTGCCCCATGTCTATGGGCCTGCCACAGAGGAAGAGGTAAGAGGTATTATATCCATAAATCCTTGCTCTGGGGCTCTCTCTGTCCTATCCAAAGAACTAACCGCAGCTGATGCAGGTCCCCGGCTCAGACCTCCCCATCTGTGGCATAGCTTTCCACGCAGCAATCCCGAGGTTTGGCAGAGCACAACCTCCTGAGGTTCGTGGGTGTAAAAATACAAATTCCACATGCAAATATGTGTGTACTCATGTACATGTGTGTATGTGTGTGTGTAGGCACATGATTAGATGTATATATAGGTATATGTGTGTGTGTGTACAGGCACACTATTGTGTGTATATATAGCTACGTGTGTGTGTGTGTGTGTGTGTGTGTGTGTGTGTGTGTGTGTGTGTGTGCGCTTCGAACAGTGTCTCTACTTTGATTTGATTTGGAGCTCCCAGATTCAGTTAGGCTGGCCAGCTGGGGAACTCCAGGATCTACCTGTCTCTAGCTCTGGGATTACAGCTGCACACCAACTTGCTGAATTTTCTTTACATGGGTTATAACGATCAGATTTGGGCATGACAGATACTTTATTGATTGAGTGATCTCCCCAGCCCCACAGGAATCCTTTAACAGCCTAGATCCTCTAGGTGGTAAGGCCTGGGAGGTTCCTTGTCATGTCTCTAGGACAGTCCATTAGTGTCAGGAGTGAAGTAGGGCTGACCCTTAGGCAACTCAGGCCACAACTCAGGGTATACAAGAAATGCTCAGTCTGTTTTTCATCTACACCTGAATCTGACTCTGATCCTGCCCCATGGGGAGCTGAGATCTTCAGTTTTAGTCACTGCGGGGACGCGCTCTTGTCTAGGGTTCTGGCAGTGCCCTGAGACTTCAGCAGATTATTTTGATTTCCTGGAGAAGCCTGCTGCTGTGTGCTCTCGATCACCTTATGATCTTGCTGCCTCTTTCTGGGCACCTTTGTTCATATCTAGGCAGCCCTGGAGCCTGCTCAACATTCCTGGTGGGGCGTTTCCCTCCATGGGTGCTTCTGAAAAGCAAGGTGGCTCAGTAAACCCTTCCTTGTGCCCGCCTAGGATGCGGAACTTCCCTCTCCTTTTTAGCTCTCAAAAACTCAGCCTTGTTGACCCAGCCCTTCTATAGCCCAAGAGATACTCTCTCAAGGAAGGAATAAGCCTTGGCTTTAAGCAGTTTCTCTCAGTCCCGTACACATTCAGAGAGCAGAGAAAAAAGCTTGGTAGCTGCCTGATTGGAATGAATGGAAGGGAATGGGAGCTGGGGGACCTTCCTAGAAGAACAAA